GGAGGCCCCGGGGAAGACCCAGGACACGCTGGAGGGACTATGTCTCTCAGCTGGCCTGGGAACGCCTCGGCACTCCCCCGGAGGAGCTGGAGGAAGTGTCTGGAGAGAGGGAAGTCTGGGCATCTTTGCTTAGACTGCTGCCCCCGCGACCCGGTCCCGGATAAGCGGAGGAAAATGGATGGATGGATGGAGAATTAGCTAGCTGTGTTTTGTGTCCTTTCATTGATATTCAGGCTGGGGTGAGGACTGTGAAAGCTGCCTGTGTTGAGCTGACAGCTTCAGGGAGACAGTGGATCTCAGTGTGGGGCTCGCAGCTGGGAAACAAACACACTGACAGGTGTCTGGATATTCTGTGCAAGCACACATCTGTTGATGAAATCTCAGTTTTGTTTGTCCTGACCTCCAGCATTTAATGTTTAATCCATCCAGAGGAGTATTTGTGACGACCTGTAGGGCTCCTCCCCCAGGCTAACACCCCTCAGCTCCCCCGGGGACAGTTTGTTGTTGCCTCACATATCCCAGGGGTTTTGTGTGTTGGTCTTCTTACTGCCGGTGGGATATGATAATTATGTGTTGTCACAGCAGCTGCTGTTGTGATGCTGCAGGTTGTGAGATATTTAAAGCTTTTGCAGATGAGAAAGGGCTGCAGAGATTGATTGTTTTTGTTGCATATTAATCTGCCAAATATGTTTTTGGTGGTAAAAAACAGGTTCCCAGACTCAAAGGTAAATCACAGTCATGTCTTGTTCTGTCTGAACAACAGTCTAAAAAATATGAGACAAAGCAGGAGCTGTTATAGTTTTGACAAGATAAATGACGTATGATTAATCAGTCTAAATTGTAGGTAATTTTTGTTGTAATACTGCAGGTCAGCTTGAGAAGGGCAAATGGAAAAGATTTTGCAGGTGAGGTAGGGCAGCAGCAAATGGTTATTTCTGTCATTGATTCACCTACTAGATAAATTTGGGATAAACTGTAAAATAAATAAATAAAAATAGTTCCTGGAGTTCAAGGTAGAATCTTCACATGTTTTGCTTTGTCTGACCTAACAGCCCCAAACCCAGAAATATTCCCTTTATAATCATGTTACTCAAAGAAAAGCAGGAAATCTTCATTTTAGATAAAAGTGATATACTATGAAGTCCTGCCTAATGGAAGTAGGGCTGTTGTATCTGGCAGTTTTAGCACAGAGTAGCTTGTAAACTGGCCACTGAGTGTAACTCGTCAATGAAATTATAACATCTTTAGTGTCGTGCACATGCATCACAGAGGGCATGTGTGATAGAGAGATCAGTAGATGTCTGGAATAGAGGAACAGAAACACTTTATGGGCTATTATCAAAACCAGGAGGAAGTCATACACACTACTGTCTTGATTGTTCTTTTTTTTGGTAAGATGGGTTTGGTAATGCAGATTTAAAACCTGAAACTTAATCTCTCTATATAAAAGTCAGTCCAGTAAATTCTTCCAGGCCTCAGGGTGCTGCAGCAAACAGCAGTGTGTCTGGTGTCATTAGATCAGAGCATCTGACACCACTGATGTGATTTTTAAATGATAAATCTCTTGCCCAAGGCTCACTCATGTAGATGCATGTTGTTGGCACTCATCATGGGAGAAGAGATGACACAGTTTGACACGGCATATTAAATCATATGAAGTTTCTGATCTGTATGATCTGGTGTCCACAAACACATCTGTTCATTCTTAATACCAGTCATACTTCTCATTTCCTCTGCTTCAGCTGTGCAGTGACAGGTCTTGTGACTGCCTGATTTGTTAATGCTTTTCCTGGTCAACCAGTGCTGCCACATGGCGCTTTAGTTACAGTGTGAGTAGTTGAGGAAAAAGTGGTTTCTCGCAGCAAAGACTACAACATGTGGAACTTGACAGTTTTCAGTAGGAAGCTTTTTTCAGCAGCAAAGCTCTGATAAACACACACATGCATGCTTATGTTGTAGATTTAGTTAAAAATGATTTAATAATGTGTTTAACTTTTCTTTAAATATGATTGGTCACAGCTCTGTCAGCCCACATATCGCTGACTAAAACAGTTTTTCGCAGTGCTGCTCATCCTGCTGCCAGCTCCATCCTCACTGTTCCTCCTCGTCATTGCTCCCAGACTCGACTCAGCCCACCCCCTCATCCAATCTCTATTTGTCTTCAGCCTCCCGTCTTCTCATATCACCACCTTAACCTGCTTATATGAAGAGCTGCAGCCTCCCCCGTGTGCTCAGCCTCAAGCCAGTTTCAAAAGTTAACATTGCAAATAGTTTTCTCTGCTAGTGTGTTATGAGATTCATCTGATGCCAGAAATAAAAGACTTGGATCAGATCAGGCGAAAATGCTTGTGCTGTCACTTTCACTTCTGCATTACACGACCTGCAGTGATGGCTGTTGAAGTCTGTCTTGTTCTTTGCAGTCTGGGATGTTCCCTTACTCTGTGTTGTTGGGGTAAAAAGCGCTAACTTTGGATTGATGTTCAAATTCACAGCTTGGCCCCGTTTTGATGTGTCACAGTGTTGTTTTTTTTAATTCCTCCTAATGAGCTGCACATTATGTGCATTTCCCTTAATAATTTGCAGACTTTCAACCATAATGGTAGGTTTTTTCCATATTTCTCCAGACTCTACTGAAGCAGCACATTAGTTCTGTACAGTGTAATTAAAAGCTCCAAATAATAGTTGTTTACCTGCTATAGTTAGAAGTGTGTGTGTGTTTGTATGGTGGCTGTTGGGGTTTCCACTCAGGTATGACTGTTTACGTCAAATTATTTGATTTATTGTTCTCTCATACTGTCACTTTATAAGTACAGAGCTGAAATGATTAAAGCTACTCTAATTTCTTTTCAGCCCAGAGGGTCTAGTGAGTCTCAAAACAAACTGACATCATACACTAATGTTACACAAAGCTTGAATTACTCCCAAATAAAATCGTATTAATTCAACCCAAAGGTAAAGTCATGACCATGCTAGGTGGCTAATGCTACCAAAACAAAACAGAAGGAAGAAGGTCACATCTGGATCCAGTCTGAGTCCTCTGGCTGCTTTTAACCCTCTCCATGTCAAACAGCCAAACCCATGTTAACCCTGGTTGTTGATCTTTCTTTGACCCACTGTCTCTGTGCTAAAGACGCCAACTCTTCACTCTGGTAGCCGCTGGTTCAGACTTTTAGCTGCCCAGAGCTCCTCCATGGCTGTTTGACATGACTACTGGCAGCTGGAAATCTCTGGCAATCAAATGTTCACTTTGTGAATATTTGCTGGTTTTTTTTGTCTTCTGTGTTAGAACATTGAATATCTTTGTGTTTTGAATTGTTGGCCAGACCAAACAAGGTGTGTTAAGACTGTATCTTGGATTTTTGAAAGCCGAGATGGTTATTTTTCACTCTTCCAACATTTTGTGGACTCAGGGACTGAATGATGAGTTGAGTAACAAGCTCAAAAACCAGTGAAGAGGAGTCTTTTCTTTCCCATCCATAATGAAGTCAATCATTGTTTTATTATTTGTAACTGCATTGTTAAAGTGTAATTTGGACTGATGTTGAATTAAAAGAGCGAAAACATCAACAACATAATGTCAGCCTTTTCTGAAAATGGAGTTCAGCAGATTAGTGAAAGCTTGAGGTTAATGGTTTTTGACACAAGCCCCCATTCTGCACGTGGAGCTGCAGCTTTCCATCTCCTTCGCACAGCATCAGCTTCCTGCACTGCTGTCAGCTGATAGGCTGCAGGCCGGTTGCTGAGTCACATGGAGCGATCAGTGCTGGAGCCCTTCCTCCGCCTGCCTCGCCTGCCCAGAGCTGGCTCCAGCCTATTGTTTTTCATTCTCACTTGAACTGAATCTGAGGCAGTTTGTGACATGTCTGCTGTCTTCACCTGGTACCATAGCAGCATTTATGCCTTAATTCACCATATCATTCATCAAGCATAATGTTGGGGCACTCACACCCAATAATCACATTTCTGGTTTTTCACAGAGCTGTAACTTTTGTGTGATTATTCCCGTGACAAAGTCGTGTGCTTACAAAGATGCATTAGGCAGCTCACGAGCTAAGCGCTACAGAAGCATTCAGTCATAATCTTCTTAACTGTGTGTGTAACAAATACAAAGCAGAGAGAGTCGGGATAAAGTGGGAAAGAGCTTGTTGAGCTAATATGTGCATAATATTAATACGTCCTTAATCGCTAAGGCTGATCAAGGTCTAATTATGAGCATGACTCCATTATGGCAGCACTGAGAAGCTGATTATAGGAGATAATGTAATCATGGAAATGAATGTTTAGGATCTGTGACCACAGTGGATGAATAATAACACTTCTAAAAATTATACCTATTTTATAACTCATTAAATCTATATTGTTCCTGTTTTATTTTTATTCTTACAGGTCTTGTTTTGCCAGACCAACAGTCCAAAGATATTTAGTTTATTTTCATATATGACAAAGAAAAGCATCAGATTCTCCTATGTGAGAAGGCAGAAACAGCAGTTGGGATGTTTTTGCTTAATAAGTGACAAATGATTTAATTATCAAATTAGCTTTTTTTTCATTCAACTGATGGATTAATCAACTAATCTAGTCTCTCTGTGTGTTTCTAAGTTTTCTACTAGTTCCCCTCAGTGCTTTCCTCTCCGACAGTCTTCACCTCTTCTCTCCTGTTATCTGTAAACCTTACAGCCCACAAGCCTCAGATCAGAATTTGAACCGTCAGCGGGCATCACATTTAACATCGGCGGTTTGGCTCAGACTTTTCATCATGGCTGAACAAAGTGTTTTCAGTTCAAAGAGAAATTTACATTCAAATTGAGTTTAACCAGCTTTTTTCTGCTGCTGCTCAAACACTGTGTTAAGCTTCTCAGGCTGAGCACCTTGACGGTAGTTGGAGAAGGAAGCATGAAAATGTCTTATCAGTTCTCTCAACCTGAACCATCCAGTCACAAACACGTGGTCTAAGCTTTTGTTTAAGCCGGTGTTGTTTCTCACTCCGAGCTTAGTATTGATTGTCAAGGGAGACAAATCACTGGCAGGGCTGTAAAAGGCTGATAACTGTGCATGAGAGGAGAAAAGGTCAGAAGATTGCAGCCTTGAATGAAGGGGAAGGGTTCACTCATTAATGAGTTCTCAGAATTAATATGTCTGGTGAGAACCTCACTCTGTTGACATGACTTTCCCTTTTTATAGTTTTTACAGTAGTTAACAACTCCCATTAAACCTTTGTTGTGTAAATGTGATTTATTTTTCTGTCAGGACTGAGGCAGCATAGAAGTCACAAGATGATGTTTGGCATTGGATTATCTTGATTGGACGTGTATTAAGTAAAACGACTGAAGCCACTGTAAATGGATTTACACGTCATTATAACATCAAACTTTTTCTTTCCTTGCTGTAACTTCTGCAGGATGCGTGAGGACATGTCCACTATGGTGTGTGTGAAGGAGGAGGAGGACCCCGGGGAGAAGCTGTCCCAGGATGAGATCATCTCCCGGACCAAGCAGGTGATCCAGGGGCTGGAGGCCTTGAAGCAGGAGCACCACTCCATCCTGGAGGGCCTGCTGGGCACCCTGCGCTGCCTGAAGCAGGACGAGGAGGGCGTCCTAGTAGAGGAGAAGTCCCACATGATCCGCAAGTCCCTGGAGATGCTGGAGCTTGGCCTGAGTGAGGCACAGGTATCCCAAAGTCTGCTAATTATGGATCAGGCTTGTTTCATTATTTGTAGGTTGATGTGAATTTAATAACATCTGATGTGAGAGCAAGTTCCCTGTGACAGTCACAGTTTTTTAGCACAGATGTAACCACTTTTATTGTCTAACCACATGTGCCGACAAGTATTTTTGCTTATTTGCAACTCCACGTGTAAACATTTGACAAAACTGGGAGATTTCTGTCTTTGAATGATAATTAACAACCCCAGGATGTCAGACAGTGGTTGCTGGCCTGTGAATTTAACTTTATTGAACTTGGAAGCAACTAAAAAAAAAAAAAAAAAAACCCTTGTCTTTGTCCAGGTGATGATGGCACTGTCAAGCCACCTGAGCTCGGTGGAGTCAGAGAAGCAGAAGCTGCGGGCTCAGGTGCGTCGGCTCTGCCAGGAGAACCAGTGGCTAAGGGATGAGCTGGCCGGGACGCAGCAGAAACTGCAGAAGAGCGAGCAGAGCGTGGCCCAGCTGGAGGAGGAGAAGAAGCACTTGGAGTTCATGAACCAGCTGAAGAAGTACGACGACGACTTGTCTCCATCTGTGAGTCCTCTGGTCTTCTTCAGAACATGTTGTCATGTTCCCATGTTTGACCAAACATCTAATAAGTGAAACAAAGAAACTGGTAACTGTATCAGGATGCACCGCAGCAGTACAGCAGATGGGTATCACATGATAGTGTTTTATGAAGTGGACTGGGCATTTGCCCCAAAGCAAGTGGGTTTTTTCCCCAATTATAAAATTCACTGTCACTTATATTCATTTAGTCACATGTCTCCTTACGTAAAAGTTAAATTAGTGATAGTATTAATTTAGTTACATACTTGTTTGAATCAGCGCTTTATATCAGCATAACCTGATCTGTGGTATTGAGAGAGAAAAGTTGGACTGGTGCGTCTCTAGAACAGGAGCTCGGGGTCAGGCTGTCATTCACGAAAGATCGAGTGTATAACGCCGCGTTTCCGTTGTCGGAACCCAACAGGCCGTACACCCCGTGCTTCCTGTAAGCATCGACTGGAGTAACCTCATGGGCTGATGTGAAATGTTTTGCTTTGGTTTTCCACTGTTTTTGCCTTTGTCTGTCTCTGAAACTGTTGCATTACTGTCCATGTTTTTCTGACAGTTAGTTCATAAGCATGTCTACGTAATGGGAGAAGTAAACGGTAAAATCAAGTGTTTTTTGGATTAGTAATCTGTTCTCTTGGTTCACATTTGCTAGGATTTTATGATATACAGTAGTTCCCATTCCTATGAAAGCAGATTATCAGCATCAGCAAACTATCAGTATAAACAATCTTAGGTCTGTTAAATACTTTAAAAAATCCTTGACTGGACCCACACTACAGAATTACTGCAGATAATCAGCAGACAGGTTGACAGTGTCCTGTGGATTTAGGCGACAGTCACTTCATCTCTCTTCTTCCCCCTCTCCTCCCTGTCTCCCCCCATCCCCTCTTAGGAGGAGAAGGACTCTGACTCAAGTAAAGAGACTCTGGACGACCTCTTCCCTGATGACCAGGACGACCAAGCCCCAGGCAGTAAGTGTTCCACTTTCCTTTTCTTCCTTGGACGGGGGGGGGGGGGAAAAATGAAATGTGTAGGTCCTGACCTTGAAATTCAGATTTAATAGTTGAGGTGCTCTTGTCATGTACTGTGAACCTGAAGCAGGTCTGTGACCTAGATTAAGTTTTAAAGGTGTTTACAGCTGTAATAATACACGTAGAGTAAAAGCAAACATTGTCATGAGACTATAATTACCTGCAAAAGACAGTAGCTGCAATTTTGAAAATGTCACTGCTGTTAAATTAATATTTCCTCTGGGAACAAACGTATAGATGTAATATACCAGTGTCTACTCAGTGAACCTCCCCAGAGTCAGAGTAGATCACATAATATATCATGGTGGCTTTACCCTGCAGTTTACTTTAGCCTTATAAATCTTTATCTCATCATCCCTCCGTACTTGCACGCACACACATTTTCTCTCTCTCTCGCTCACACATGCCTTCTGCAGTCTTTCTTTGCTCCCCCTCCATCCACCCTTTTCTCGGTGTTTGATGGGGTGCCCTTTGAGCTCACTTGGCTGTAAAGGCCCATTAGTCAGGACCTAGTTCAGCCTGGAGAGAAGCCAGAAGGAGAGAGCACCTCCCAGCCAGACTGGTGTGATAGAGTTCCAGCTTTTCTGCAGTCTGTTGTTATGAACTGATTTTGTTTTTTGGCTTTGAACATCAGTGACATGCTTAAAATCTACATATGTGTTGCTTTAATCCTATGGCAGAAAAAGATAAACCACATAATTCAAATTAGATTCAAGCTGTTTGTTTATGTAAAACCCAAAACAAAAGCATTATTTGACAGGTATTATTACTATACCTAAGTCTAATGTCGCCACCAGAAGAGCCACAGCACTAATTTGGCTGTTTGAAACATTAAGAGATGTATATGAGCTTTGACTAGGTGACCTACGAGCTTCTGGTCTCCTCAGAAAACATCAGTGTGTTCCCAGTGTGTTGATACTGTTGCTTAAATGCCTTGTGCAAAATGATTCCCATTTAGTTCCTGGCAGCAGTTTGTCAGCCAGTTTAAACTGGTGACAAAGTGCATAGGAGACTGGTTCACAGCCTTTTTGAGCCAGATTCCACCACTGTGCACTCCAAACCTCTTTGCTTTATAAATTCAGCTTGCAGAACACATTTAGCTAAAATTACTATAGATTTTTGTCATTATTCAGACAGTAGCAGGTTCAGTTAAAGAGATTTTAAGAGTGTACTGTAACTTGGTGTTTAGTAAAGGCCGTTCAGTGGGCTAAAATGTGAAATTTAATTTCAGACAATGGCAATTGAAAGGATACTTCTGTGGGTATTTTATAGTTTTCTAATCGATAAATCCCATGAAAACATCCCATTAACAAGTGTGTATACAGCGTCTCATACAGTATCTTAGTCTTCTGTCCTTATTGTACACAGCAGAGCAACAGATGCCTATTAATCTGCAACTGAATCTAGTCTCGAACAAATGCACCAACTAATCCAGTTTTAGTAACTGTACTAAAAACTACAGTGCCCAGTAGTTTTGGGAAATTACTGAGCATTTTTGGGAGGGTGGTCAAACAGTACTCTGACAGTTCAACACTATTATTATAGACTGTCATCTTCTCACATGATTTGTTGAGCATAACAAATATATTTAAAAAATCACCAGCTGTATCATTTAAGAGGCAGAAAGATCAAAAACAGTAACACCAGCTGCAGCACCAGATGAAGAAATTATGTTTAATTGTTTTCAGCAGCTTGTGCTCTGTGTGTCTGTTCTTAAGGAAACTGACTTTTCCACATGGTTTCGTGTTTTCATTTCAGAACAGGGCCAGTGGTAATCCCCCACTCTTACAGTGTTTTGTGGGTGTAATTACAGGGTCTGATCCAGACTGTGTTTTGGCTCAAATTATGATAGCAGTGCAGGTTGTAGAGCAGAGGACGCAGAGCCGGTTGCTTTTGGAATAATGTGTCAAATTAGAGGACTGCTTTTTTTTTCATGTTTCAGATCAAAATGAGCTTCATTTGTGTTTTCAGTGTATTTCCAGCGGTGATAGAGCCTTTGCTGTGTTGACCTCTGCTGAATGAATGATGACTAGAGACAGACACAGTTCATTAGCATGTAGCTGTGAGAGAGGAATTGGGTTGGGGAACGGGTGGAGCACAGGATTGACTTTCAAACGTGTCAGCAGTTCAGAATGATGACAAAAACTGTGTCCAATACATGCTGGATCCACAAAAGGAGAAGATAAGATTCTCGGTTTAGCTGTATTGTTTTTGTTGAAGTGTTGCCTAAATGTGTCAGATTACTGAAAGTGAGGTTTGTAGTGAACACAGTTACAAAGGTAGTTGTGAAGGTAAATGAGACTGGGTGTGTACAGTAATGTACACCCATTGACACAAAAAGACTCATTGCTGTTTTTCCAGATCCTACACACGCACACATCACACATTCCTACTTGCACCTATGCCGGTGCTTACAGTGAATACTGTCAAGTAGCTATATGATTAAACAAAAGGGGTGTGAGAGAGAGAAGTTTTTGTAAATGCTACTGAATTATGGATGAGAGGCCTTGGGAAGGCAAAGCAGGAACAGAATAGAGAGAAAGTGTGTGTGCAAATGAGAGAGATGGGAAGTGTTTAGGATCTCCAGGTGCCTGGAAAAGGAATGTATCATCAAATGCTGTTTCCACTTGCACTAATCCTCCCTCAGTGTGAAACAGAGCTGCCTGACACTGTGTGTGTGTCAGAGAGAGGGATACTGGGTGAACACTGGACTGGATTAGATGTCTGTGCTTGGAAAGCTTTTGGGGTTTTGGTGAATTGCTGTCAGAAGGGAGAAGATGCTTGTGTAAAGAGGAAGATGATGGTCATGACAGCTCTGTTTCTCTGTAAACTGGCCTCATGCTCTCTGTAATGTTTCTGTACAAATATGTACATTTCAGTCATTGAGCTTGTTGTTATTCACAGTCACTAAATGATCTTGTAAAGATTCAGAGCATCAAGGGTAGGCTGCCACCAGTCTAGACATGTAGCAGCACGAAGGGAAGGCTCAGCCTGGTCACTTGTGCCAGCTCTAACTACAACCTTTATCAAAAAGGAATCTAATCGTAAAGGTAGAGAATGGGAGAGTATGTCCAAACATCTGACTGGTAGTGTATAAAAACAGGTGACTAAGGAAGAACCTGAGTTACTGGGTGGTCTCCTCCAGGATGACAGTGCCCCCATCGACAGGACATGAGGGGTCACTGAGTGGTTTGAGGATGAAAATTATGTGAACAGACATGCTGGGGCCTTCCCAGTCACCAGGTCTCAGCCCAGTTGAACAGCTATGGGAGATGTTGGAGCAAAACACCACACGAGGGAACATCTGTTGGAAGAACGGTGTTCATCCCTCCAGGAGGGTTCAGAGACCTGGAGAGTCAATGCCAAGGTGGAGCTGTTGGCACCTGGGTTAAGATGACTTTGGCTCTTGTGGAAAGAAATAGACATTCTGAATGAGTCAAATATGCATTTCCAGTGAGATGGTCAGAAGTATGTATCCTGATGTCTAATCGTTTCTTTTTTTTGTTTTGTCCTCCTTGTGTTTCCAGTCCAGCCAGCTCATGCCAGTGCTGCAGCAGCGGCTGCCCAGCAGGGAGGCTACGAGATCCCGGCCCGTCTGAGGACCCTCCACAACCTGGTGATCCAGTATGCCTCACAGGGCAGGTATGAGGTGGCTGTGCCCCTCTGCAAACAGGCCCTGGAAGACCTGGAGAAGACCTCTGGACACGACCACCCGGATGTGGCCACTATGCTTAACATCCTAGCCCTTGTTTACAGGTTAGTTTATCAAACCCAGTAGTTTTATATGCCAACTCGCTTGTAAGATAAAATGTTTTTCTTTTTGGAAAAGATGAATTATCTTGGTAGCCTCTGGCTGTAAGTTGTCCCACCTTGTAAAATATGACGGTGTTTAAGTGGTTTTATTTAAATAAATGTCTTTGATGGAACTAATAAATAATAATAATAATAAACTCGGCAGGGACCGTCCAGCCGTGAGTACATCTCTCTGCATCACATCTGCTTACATCAAAGAAAGCAAAAGTTTGGATTTTGTGCTGGTTCCATATTCAAAGTGCCTTCTCAGGATTTTAAAGTGGAGGAAAATGTTCTTCAGGAATACTGGGGCAGTTTTTTTTGGTAGATATCAGTGAAAGGAATGTTTATAACCTTGTGTCCTCCATAGCACAGTGCTCTGTGATCCTACAAAACCTGTTTTGATGTGTCGATGGCTTGGCATGTTTTCTTTTTGTCATAACATGATGGCATGTCTCTCAAACCTTTGCTGTGCAGCCTTGGAGTATTATGTGATTTGCCTCCAAATGAAAGCCAGGTGCCTTCCTAACGTTAATGGACCAACCGTAGCCTGACACAACCAAAGATTTACAGTACAGTGACAGAACTGGGCCAGTGTTGCTTTCCCAGCAGTAGCAGAAGCTAACAAAAGAATGACACACATGAGTTGGACAAGTATTTTACAGGGTTGGTCTAATGGTTTTTATCTTCACAAATCTTATCTGTTGAATAGTCAGTAAAGGTTTTTGGCTTCGTTATTCCAAGGGAATGAGAGACTGCATCGACTTGTGGACTGGTGCGTTGACTGTGGGAACTTCTGCAAAGCTATTTTGACCATCTCACCTGAAAGTAATGGGCTGTTAGTGGAAACTGTCAGCATGTTTTATGTTTCTTCTTTTAAAGTGCTTGTCTAACTCCATTTGCTTCTGTCTGTCAGGGATCAGAACAAATACAAAGAAGCAGCCAATCTACTGAATGATGCTCTGGCCATCAGGGAGAAGACGCTCGGCAGGGACCATCCAGCCGTGAGTACATCTCTCTCTACATCACATCTAACTTACTCGGTTGTGCACTGTTTTTCTTCCATTAAACAGCTGAACTATAGTTGATTAGCGACATTGAATCAGTCTCATCTCAATCATGTATCTCAGTTTGATGTGAATGTTTCCAAGGGCAGATTATTTTGCAGTCAGGTGCAGAAAAATACATAGAATGACAAACGCGCTCAAAAGTTTAAAACTGACATGAAACAAGTCTTGTTTTGACAAGATACCTTTAGCTCAGACTGAAGGGGAGTGTGCTCAATTGCACAAGATGTGAATAAACTCCTAAAAAATGTAGGTAAGCAAAAAGCAAGAGCAGGATTAGCCTTATTCTTAGACAGTGTGCCTTCTTCAGAGCTTGAAATACAACACTGGTCAACTCAAGTGTGTGTGTGTGTGTGTGTATACACCCAGGACAAGCGGAAGCACAGCTAAATTATATACACTATAAAAAAAACTGACAGTAAAAAATGATCTAGTACAATACAAAATGCACAATAAGCAAACAGGATTCAAAAACACTTCAGCCCTGCACACATACTGAAGACAAACGGTGTCAACTAGTGTCGACTGTGTTCAGATTGTCTGCTAGTGTATTTGTCCTGCAGCCCAGCATGATCAGATCTAACACTGAGGGTTTCATAGGTAATCCTCAGCTCCATGAACCTGTTTGTCATTGTGACTCTGAACATAAAGCAGGGCAACTAACTGTGTTAACCCCAGCAGGCCTACGTCTCCACTGTCTGGACCTTCATTACTCTGCGCTCTGTGAAGCTGAGGTTAGCCGTCCCCCCTCCGCCCTTCCCACCTCCATCCTCTCATCCTGCCTCGAGGCCTTTATGCATCTTTTACACAAGGAACTGATTTTGTTTAGTGATTTGTTTTTCAGAGAAATCATAGTTTTGATAACGGTATGGCCAGTTACATGTCAGTGATTCACATCTCATGATTTTTTTTAATTTTTTTTTACTGGTTATAATGTTTTTTCATTTTGAATCCAGCTCTTTGCTTCTTGGCATCTTTCTCCTGTTTCCTCCTATTGATCTGTTATTCTCTTCCCCTCATCTTTGTTTTCAGCCTCTTTCAAATGTTCCATTTTAAGAAATTGTAATTTTGAACTGATTCTAAATAAATGAGTCAGTGAGTTGTTAGGAAACATGGTGAATGTCTGTTTTAGTAATTCTTGAATCTGGTTTGAACTTGCTGGATTTCATCTCTGACTGGTGATGCATGTATCAACACACGTGCATCATGCTTGCAAAGCTCCAGATCAAATGGTCTGGAGCTTTGCCAGATATGTGGTTTTGGACTGATGGCTCCTGCCTATGAAAACAGGTCCTCAGGAATAGGATGATCAAAATCTGAAGCAAGTGTTAAAGGTAGAGTGGCTGGGTTCACGCTCTCTCCAGGGTTAGAGGGGCAAGTACATACAGATGTGTGCCTCTGTTGGAGCTTTCCCCAGAGCTGTGGTTTCTGCTTAAGTATTAGACTGCCTGCTGTCAAGGCGTGGTTGTGAAGGGGGTGCTGCCTCAGGACTACATAGATCTGCTGGGAGGTGACAGAAACCTGTAGAGGCTTGACTGGGAGGAACCTCTGATATGAGGTGGTGTTCTTCTCTTGGACCTCTCTTGTGGTTATGGATGTGACAAACCCCATATTTAGTCATGTCTCTCAACTGTTTTTGAGTACTGGGTCTTTTGTGCTGACACGACTCAGTGACCCCCTCCCTGAGTGAAACTACCGGCTTCCCCACCTGTATATTTGATGATTTTAATAACGACAATGTGTAATTGCATTGCTTCCGAGTTTATTGAGCAAGAATCTGTACATATACCCACATTTATTTTAAGAATCTTTCCTCGACCTTCTTGCAGTATTGTTCCGGACAGCTGGAGACCAACAGACCCCTGGTTGAGAAACACTGAAGTAGTTTGTGTTTATGTTACCAGACCACCTTAGGCTAAAGACTGGTCATAGACTTTTTATGCACTTTATCCGATCTGTGACTGTATACCTCATCTTTTCTAGTATTATTGGATATGAAGTGTGACCTACGTCTTTTAGGGTGATTTCTTAGACAGTGACCATAGGTGACCTCCAGGCTCCTTTGCAGTTGACCTCCTGATTGCACGTGCTGGAGAATCAACATCCATCTGATTGGGATCAAATTACTGCCCACCATAATCATTTCCCGTTTCTGCACATCCTCCGCACTTCTTCACCAGATCAATGACACTGTGCTGCTATGGCGGAGTCTTGCGGTTGCACACACACTGCGCACATGAGTGATGATGGTTGAGGTTCGAAACATATTGTAGAATAATGTGTGTTTTAATGTGTTTGTTGTCCTGTCAGGTTGCTGCCACCCTCAACAACCTGGCTGTTCTGTATGGGAAGAGAGGAAAGTACAAGGAAGCTGAGCCTCTGTGCAAGAGAGCACTGGAGATCAGAGAAAAGGTGGGTCAAAGGTCATCGTTCAGACACTATGACTGAATAGATTCAGCAGAAGTGGAACAAATTGCTGCTTTAGCCCTGGCTCATAGGCGGTAACTAGCCTTAGAAGTCGGGGCTTTCCCGGCAGGGAGAAGTGACGAGGGAGGCCGGCTACCTTTGTTCAAAACACAGGCTTTATTCAGATTTAGCATGAACACTGCATGTGGCCTTTGATCCCCAGTTAACCTCATTACAGTCCTGTCTACACACTTGGAGCTGACTGCTGTCTGGCTGTGTGTAAAAGGACTCTGTTCCATGTGGTGGTGGTCTTCTTGCTCTCGCACTGCAGGTTACAACTTCTGGCAACAACAACAATACCTACATGGCCACATGTCTTAAAGGGGAAGGCCATACCTATATGGCCACATGTCTTAAAGGGGAAGGCCTGGCCTGTAACAACAATCTTCATTTGCTAATGAAATCTGCTGTGGGAACCTTCTCTGCCATAGCTCACTAGCTTTAGCTATCGAACCAGAGCAGTAACCCATCTGCTTGCCTGGCCTTGTGGGAGATTCTTGGCTTGTGCATGGACAAGGGTGTGCAAGTAGGAAGTTAGGTTGACAGGCAGGTAGGTCATCCAATGGTTTTGTTCGTGCCGGGTAAAATTATTGGTCAGGATCAAAGGTGTGTATCTCGGTGCAGCCTTACTTCCAGGAAGATTGCCTTTATTTTGTCGTAACTCTAGTCTGCTGCTCACTAAAGTTCTGCTCAGCAATCCTGAATGTGTATGAGACACTTTTTGTTCACTGTTCTGTGCCTGTTCTTGGTTGTTCTCTTTGAACATACCATCCTTCGCTCTCTTCTCCCCCCTCTGAGAATGAGATGTCGGCTCTGCTTAAGCTGAGTGGCATCATTTTGTAGGCTACTTAAACTTGATGCCTGCACTTAAGCTGGAGGATTTACCACTGAGTGCTCCTGCACACACAGACTGGTGGAAGGTGGCTGCAGCAGAGCAGCTGAATCAGAACATTCATTCTTTTCTGCAGTTTTGAGTTTTTATAGAAGCTCAGGAAAGCTCTGCTTCTGACTGAGTTCAGAGACTGGAGGTTGGGAGAATGAATTGATGAGCTGCTGCTGAAGTTTTTCAATTTTGGCTTTGAGTAGGAATAAAAATGCTTTTTAAATATATAATGGCTGAATAAAAGAGCAATGTTACTTTTAAACAATTTGATTTTCTGCACAGGAAATTGAGTAACAACTGAATATCAGTACTGAGCTGATGTTTCTGTAGCTAACCTCTGAACTCCACATAGCTGCACTAAATATAAATGCATTGTTATCTTTCCTTATTTTATCTTTATTTTATGAAGCAGCTCAGTAGTCCATCAGTGTGGCACAGGCCAAAATGCTTTAATTAGATATCCACTGTGTGTAGTTCAGAAAGCCGGTGGGATTGGAGTCCTAACACAGGTTACAGATCTAATTCCCAGTGTCTTGGCACAAAATTAAGTTCATGCTGTTGCTTGAACTGCTATCAAAGGAAACTTCTATGTGTTTTGTTAAACATCAGGAGTAACAGCACTTACCGAGTAGTGTAAGGGTCAAAGCGACTCGGGTTAAAACAGACCAGGGCCAAAATGTCTACCTGGAAATCCAGACATGAGGGTTTCATCTGGGGAAAACTGGCAAAATACTTTGACCATTTACTAGAAAAATACAACTTCTCTACTAGATTTGGATTTTTTGGAATAGAAAACTGTGTAGCAGCTACAAGGACAGATTGAGCAGCTTCAGGCTGAGGATCATTTCTCAGCCTGGATAAGAGCTTCTGACCAGATGACAGAAGGTGGGAAACTTGAGTTTGTTGCCAGCGAGTGCTGTTTTAACCCCCCCATGTGCCTGCTTCTGTCCCAGGTGCTGGGGAAGGACCACCCAGATGTGGCCAAGCAGCTGAACAACTTGGCCTTGCTGTGTCAGAACCAGGGCAAGTACGAAGAGGTGGAGTACTACTACATGAGAGCACTGGAGATCTACCAGACCAAACTGGGCCCTGACGATCCCAACGTGGCCAAGACCAAGAACAACCTGGTGAGAGGGATGGGGGGGCCTGCTGGGAGCAGTGTTTCACTGAAGGAGGAAAGTAGCTGTTGTCACTTAGGGCATTTTATTATCCCAACAACAAGTCAGTTTAAATGGAATGAGGCCTGCACCAATCAAACATAAGAGCCCTCTGAGCTGCTAACTCACCCTGGCATTTTGTTTTCAAGCATTTCCTTCAGCTCAGCAGCTCTCTAATGTAGTTTAAGTTAAACTCACCAACTTCTGTGGCCTACCTTTAGACCACGCCCTTCTTGTGGGGCAGTTTGTGCTCTGGCAACACAACACAGATAATGACATGAGAACTTCGTTTGTAAAGCTCTTTGTGCCCCTGAAAAGGTTAAACAAAAACAAGTTGAATCAGATTCAAACTAATATGTGTGGATTTACTTTACCTTAGCAAACAAAGCCAGCTGTTGCTCTGATTCCACTAAAATGAATTGATATTTAGCTGATCAGAGCTTGAATTTAAATTATTATTTACATAAGAACCATCTGTTTTGAAATAGCTGAAATGTTAATTTGAATATCTTTTCTTCCTATTTTGGTCTTAGACTGATTTTGCAACATCTTGTATGCTAGGGTAGTTTCTTAGTAGTGCTTACAGAAGTAGAAGTGTACAATCATTCTTTTTATGCTTTTTCTTAGGCATCCTGCTACCTGAAGCAGGGCAAGTTCAAGCAGGCTGAGTGTCTGTATAAAGAAATCCTCACTCGCGCTCATGAGAAGGAGTTCGGCTCTGTTGACGGTACAATAACAAATAGCAATACGTATCCACTTTTGCCTTTTAAACAGTGCAGCCAGTCTCTTCTTTATCCAGTGACAACACAACCACATTTGCACTTCTTTCACAGTCCCTGTCGTTCTCTTCTGATGTTCAGGTTGTCACTGTGTCTAAAACTTGTCCTTTCTCCTGCTCTGTTTCTCTGTTTTTGATGGTTTTCTGTTTCTCGGCAGATGAGAACAAACCGATCTGGATGCACGCTGAGGAGAGAGAAGAGCAAAGCAAGGTAGTTATGTTGTGATATAATTTATACCCGTATTGTGTCGGTTTAATGTTTTATGGATGTCCCTAAAATCATGATACTTGTTCAGTAATATGTCTGGTAAAGGTGCGACAAAGACGTGTCAGGCACAGCCAACATGATGCTTCTGAGTGAAACGTCACTGACAGCAGCAGTAAACTGCTCTGACAGTTTTATGATCTTGTTTAAGATGGAATGGGAATGGAGTTGGCTTCAGTAATATCCATCCTCTGCTGACAGTGGAGCAAATACCTGACGTTTCCAGCTTGGAGTTTATTTCGTCACAGTTTAAGCGGTTTAGTTGTTCAGGGGAATCCTGACCACACTGTAATGCCACAGCTCAAAACCCCTTCTTGTTCTCTGTGAATGTACAGTATTTGAAAATGCCTCTAGTTTAGAAGTTGATTCATTTGCATCTTTAAGTGCACGAGTAAGAGCACATTGTAGTTCATGGGCCTGTGGTCGTCATCCACACTTAACTGTAACATCCATGTATTTCCTTAAAATGTGTTTTTGTAAACTGATGAACATGTTTTGTGTAACAGGGGAGGCAGAAGGACGGCTCACCGTTTGGTGAATATGGAGGCTGGTACAAAGCCTGTAAAGTCGACAGGTCAGTTTGTTTGATGGCTTCAGTGTGTGAACATGGATGATATTCCCAGCAGCAGATCAGAAAATGGCACACAAATGTATCCAGATGTGTCTTCACTATGAGACGTTCCTGTATGAATAAATACTGCACAGCTGGTTTGTGACCCTTTCAAACAAAGCATCTGCGTTTGAACCCTCATTACCAGCTGACTTCTAGCTGTGACCAGTATATATGAAGCCTTTTATTTGTGTTATGTATCTGTACACATACAAATATTTGTTTGTAACCCCAACTGGACAATCATTGGACCACTGTTCTCAATAAGACCTGATCTTCCTGGACTGGGATCAAGCCCTTCACTCCCGTGTTTTAACATAATCATCCGTTTAAGGGTTTACACAAGACAAAGCAAAACAACCTAATTCAATTCATTATTTATTTTGTAAAAGTGTCATTATTCTCTCTCTTCACCAAAATGATTCAGTGTGATGAGAGATTTGTCTTCCTTGTTTCTGCAGCCCGACAGTGACCACCACCCTGAAGAACCTGGGCGCCCTCTACAGGCGGCAGGGCAAGTTCGAGGCGGCTGAGACACTGGAGGAAGCTGCCATGCGTTCCAGGAAGCAGGTGTGGCCTCTGGATGATGTGACTAACAGCACAGGATTGCAAGCTGGGGTGTAATCATCACCGTGGGTGTTTGAACTGCAGAGCGAGTACCAGACTGTTGCTAGTCACCAATACTTAGATGAAATGGGTCAGATCAGCATTTAAGGCAGATTAAAAGGTAGAAAATGTGCATTCTGGTGTAAAATTGGCTCTGAAATGATGCACTCAGGAAGCTGCAGAGCCTGGAGTGAATCTTTTTAACAGCGTTTGGTGCTGTGTTACTTATGAGGGGCCTCCTGTGGAGATGAGAAGTGGAAGTGAAGTGCTGTAGCTTTTATCCTGAAGTAGGATTTCCTTCAAACATGTAATGTCAGGTATGTCAGTAACATTTAAAAGTGCACTAAGAAACTGGATTCCTGTGGTGCTAGCATAGTTAAAGCTGCACAGAGTATAATGACATTTTGGTATTTACAGTAATTACATTGTGAATACCAGTACAGATTCTTGTTAAATCAGGTCTATGTTTAGTGGCTGCTACCCCTGCTGAGAATGTGAAAGTACAGAAAATAAACTTATTTTACTAGCACAAATTGCAACTGCAGTATGTAGTTGTAATGATTTTTGGAGCTTTGTTGTCTTAGCGTTATTCACATTGGCTAGGTTCCAGTTCCATTTTCTAGCCTAAAGCCCAGTAAGAGCTCAGCTGGTCAGAATGCAGAATAGCTCAGCATTTTGGAAGCTTATTTGCTTTGTTGCAGAGTTTTAGATGAGAGGATGAGTAACGCTCATGTCTGTCAGGATATTTTATTTAAGAAATAAATACTGTGTAATACTTGTGCATGACTGTACTGAGTGTGTTGTGACTCGGTGTCTGATGTAAGAAGCGAATGGGGACCTGGGTCCAGTGCAGCTTTAGTATTAATTGGACCAGATGAACTTGTACCTGTCAGCAGTGCAGTGTCTATGTGTGGTAGGGGTGCTCAGCCTTTGCTTTAATTACTTTAGTTGAATTGGCATTTATCGCTGCCCTGTGTACTTTATGTCTGTGTGTGTCTGTCAGGGTCTGGATAATGTGCACAAGCAGCGCGTGGCCGAGGTCCTGAGCGAGCCAGAGGTCCGTGAGAAGCAGCGGAGCCGCGAAAGTTTGAACTCTGACACGGTGAAATACGAGAGCGGGCCGGACGGTGGCGAGGAAGTGAGTATGAGCGTGGAGTGGAACGGGGTAAGTACAGTACACAGCCCTCAACACGTCACTGAGAGTCTTCAGAGCAGGGAGACAGACATGTTTACACCACAGCAGCTTGTAGCTTTCTGAACAGAAGCCACACACAAACTAACCTGACCTGGTGAACACGAGTCTTGTTGCATGGGTTACTTTTTATTTACTGTAAGCACAGAGTGATCATCATTGCTCTGTCATTGAAATGTCAATATTTATCAGTCTACCATCAGCAGAGTTTTGGCTTCTGTTAAGAAGGATGCAGTGAGGCTATTTGTTTACACTCAGCAGTTACTTTGCACTGATAATGCTGATTGACTGTCAGTTACTCCATTGTCTTACAGTAGTATATATACTACTACAGTACTATATAAATACAGTCCATTTACCATTTACCATTTTAGTTACTGCTTATACTTTACTGTTACCTTGACTTTTATTAATAAGACCATACTGCTTATACTTTACCGTTACCTTGACTTTTATTAATAAGACCAAGTGAAAAGCTTCACTTGGCTGAATCTTCACTCACTGACAGTAGGTGCTTCAGCTATAGTGTGGTCTTAAACACTCTTCCACTAAACTCTCTCTCTCTGTAGAGGTTTCCCAGCTGACTTAACTAGTTCCACATGTTGACTCATCCACCTCTCCCTCTCGGCTGCACAGCCATGTTTCTAACTGACCTGGTTCATCTCGGCCTATCTGCAGTGTTTTCTCAGTGGTACACCATGTAGATGGCCGCTAACCATCACCATCTTGTTTCTAAAAGGCTGCTCCTGACTTGCTCACATAGCAACAGTAGTCATAGTGCCCTGAACAACCAATCAGCATCTCCCCCTGTACTTCAGGTTTTGGCTCTGGGAGGTTAGGTGAGAGACACGTCAGTGTGTCCTGTCGGCATACAGCTGATCTCTGGACCTATTTATATCAGGAAAGGAGTCTTGTCTGGGAAGAGCTTTAGCTGGAAGGCATTTTTAATAATAGTGTTTGTGTTTTGCTCCTCAGTCCTGTTGAACCTAACCTAACAAAATCAACAGGAATACAAGATGCAGGTGGATTCATGTTTTATTTGTTTGATATCAAATTTAATTTAACTAATTCGAGAAGGGGACTTGAGCATTTTAACAAAAGATGAGCGGAGGAGCAGTTAGAAACAGGTTACAGAGAAACCAGTAGTAAATATCCAGATAACAAAAAGTTAGAATGCTGTGTACAGTATGGTACCGGTGTAGTACAGTCAGTATATGTGGATGGATAGTTATTATTCACAGAATAATTAATATAAATACACAATATGTGTAAATATGTTTAGAAAATCTGATGGTGCCATTGATTAGTTAATTATTGAAATGACAAAATGAATCATTAACTATTGTGGAATGACCAGAAGTGAGAAACATTTGCTGTTTGTAGGTTAGATGCCTCCTAGACATACATGGTAATAAACTGCTGGTCAGACACTTGAAGAGCTAGTGACAGCATATTTCACTATTAAATCTATATAAAAAATGATCAGCAGGGTAATTGATAATGAAAATGGTCACCAGTTGCCACGCTATGAGATACTGGCATCACTGAACTATGCCACTGACGAACACTGCAAAGTGTTTTAGCTTAGACCACTGGTGTTCGAAGGCTTTAGGTGTGTTTACCCTCCACTGCCTCGCTGCAGTTGTCAAACTACATCTGCCGTTCAACTTGTCAAAGAAACCATCACTTCCACTTCAGCTCTTGTCACAGGCACAGTTTTCTTCTCACTTGCTATAAATAAGTCCACTGCCAAGCGCCGTGACTCGTCAGTCTGTTCGCTGACTCGACTTGGGCTCTGTACTGTACTCCTGTGTGTGATCCTTGTCCACTGTGCTGTACGTACCTCTGTTTATATCTCTTCTTTGTGTTTGTGTGATGAGGTGTTGCCTGAGATTGTCCAGTGAAGTGTGATTTTTCAGATCTTGATTCTTTTCCTTTGCTTGCTTAGTCAGCATGTTAGCAGCCAGAGAGGAAGGAAACGCAGTTCAGTGGATGCTTGGATAAGCTGGAAGCTGAAAGTGAAGCTGGTGTGAAGTAAAAGTTCACATATAGAACCTCAATTTAAAAAAGCAAAAACCTAATAAATGCTGATGATCACTTGGCTCCAAGGTTTGTGATCCCTAGTAAATGTGTGAAATCATGGTTTGGGTTTCATCGTACTCACGTTCTCAGCAGAATAACACAACAACAGAATGAAAATTAGTTTAGACCTAAAACATTAGTTCGTTAATTGATCAGCAACTTGTGCTGGTTCCAAATGTGAGTGTTTTCTTTATTTCTCTGTGATGAATGAAATGCACTCTTGCTCAAACAGAACATTTTAATTTTCAGATGTCTTTGTTTGACACCACACTTCATTGGTTAATTCCTAAAATAATCAGCAGAGTAACTGATAATCATTAGTTGCAGCTCTACTTGTTGTGTATTCAGTATTAGATGAGCAACCAACAGGACAAACACTAGTTCATGTGAAGTATTCGCTCTGTCTGGCTGCTCCCATGTGTCCCTGCCTGCATTTCCTCTGTTTATTTTGTGTTGATTGAACAAAGTTTAACCTTGTTCTCATTAAGTGTGTTTGAAACTTCCAGATACAGACACAGTGTGCTCCAGCTAGTTAAACTGTGTGATGGCGCCATCTGGTGGCGAGGTCTGTGAATTATGTCACAGTCGTTTCAGCTGGACATAATATTACCTTTAGCCCTCAGTAAAAAGAGGAACCTTGAATGAATATCTGCATCTGATTGGATTCTGTAGCAAGAAGAAAACCACAAAAGCTGTAACATCCTAAACCTGATATTTAGAATGAAACTCGATGAGAGCGGAGCAGTGGTGAGGTTCATTCAGTCGGTTCAGACACTTAATAAGCTGTGTGTCTTCTCTCTGCATGATCAGCTGGTTCTGCTACCGAGTCAGGGGCCGAGACCCGAGGCCGTCTGCACTGTGGAAAATGACTGGCGGGCTTAGAAATGAACATCACACTCGGGGTATTTTTCTTGTAGCAGAAACTGAAGTAGGTTGGAGCAGACAAAAACTTTAATTTAGATTTTTTGGAATATCACAGGTGACAAAAAGATGTTGATTCTGATTCAGACCTACTGTCAGAATCTATTTTATACACTAAAGGCTGTAAAATATTTGACTTTATAAGATATAGGAGCAGGAGGTCTTTAAGGAACCTGACTGATAACAACTGACTGTTATCAGCGGCCTCAACGTTAAACTTTGTAAGAAAAATGGAAGGAAACCCAGAAGCAGGTCAAGCCACTAAATAATAATTTATTAATAGATTATTTAGAGCACTTTACAAGCAGGAGGCATAAAGTGCTAAAAAACAAACATCCACACTTTGACTGTCGACTAAGTGATGGTCATTTTTCATTTCGGCATCAGTAGAGGGAGCTACACGTAAATCAACCAGCTGATTAGTGATGCACAGACGGTTGGAGAACTCCTGTGTCTGACCTGTGAAACCTGTTGGTAACCTCTGATCAGTCTGTTGCTTTCCCTCTTTCTTCTCTCCATCTTCCTCACTCCTGAATTTCTCCTCTCATGCTCTCTCTCCATATCTCATCGTGCTGACGTTTCTCTCTTTCACTGTTTATATTCCCTTTTTCTCTTCCTGCTCCCGTCTGACAACAGGCATAACTCCAGATGCCTTGTACTGGTTTAAAAACGTAGCTTCTGCATGACGGACGCCTCGCCTCGCCTCGCCTCAGCCCTTCAGCTTTGCAGTTTTCTTCAGCTCTCGACTCTCCCCCCTCTTTTCTCCTCCACCACCTCTGGGCTCTAGAAGGACTCTCCACGTCGGGTGGAACCAGAGCGATAATGTTACACCCTCCTCTCTGTGGGGGAGACGGCCCATGTGTCTGAATCCAAACTCTTGCTTCCTCCACCCAACTGTGTATATCTGCAGTGGGTGGGGGAGGACTGGGGTGATGCTTCTTTAATCTTGTGCTCCTTCCCTTGTTCTTCCTCCTGTCCTTTAACACTAGCCTCTGTTTCTCTGCTGTCACTCACACTGGCTGTAGACTCATTCCGTAGGTTTCTGACACTAGCAGGCAAACAAAAGGAGAGCCCTGAACTTTAACATGAAAAGTTTCACCTGTTTTCATCACAGCGTGGGTCGGGATAATTATTCTGTTTAAGAGTGAAAATATATGCTGATTTCTAAATGGTTTCATAGCCAGTAGTGTTTAAGTTGCTTCATGTTAGTCCACAGAAACTCCAAAAAATGTAGTTAATCCTTTTCAACACGTGAATTTATTATTGCAAAATGTTTCGCTGACTAAGGATGATCAGTATCATCTTAACATGTGGCCTGTTAAAGTGTGAGCAGTTGTAGTGTGTCTGAAAAGACATGTTTAGTTTGGACTTGTAGGGGACCAGAGCCAAATCTATGAAACTGTAAAGAGAATAAAAAAACACTGAATGGCCTCAAAAGGAAAATCTAAAATTCACAGCATGTTGTAAACAGTATTTACGTGCACGTCCATGTGTTCAGGTGCGTCTCCAGGTATGATATGATCAGAGTTAGAGCTCCTTCCCTCCCCATCGTTTCATCTGTCCTTGATGGTTTATGCATTTTAAATCAACATTAACACCTTAAATAATTAGTGGTAACTGAAACCATCTTCAGCTCATAGAGACTTAACGTGCTGTAAATAACGTGGGCGTCTCGTCAGCATGATCGGGAGCGCCGTCGACTGTAGCTCTGTAGGTTTCTTCCATTAGAGTTTAGTCAGTAGTGGCTCATCTGTGCTGTGTCATCTGTTCACAGTGATATCAGACTAAACTTCAGTGTTGTGTTGTCACATAAAAGGTAATGGGTTTCATGCACAATGGAGTTTCAGGTGGATGTTTAATGAAGCTGCTTCAGTAGAAAGTTTCCCACTAAATGTCAAAACGTGTAGAGAAAGAAGTGAAGCCTAGACATGGTGCATCCAGCCTGTTGACCTCCTGTATAGCTCTGTATATAGATGTAAGGGCAGCGTCTCATTTGTTGGATTTTGGGAACTGAACTGGCCTCCTTGTCTCTCTGTTGGCTCCTGCTCCTAACTGTCTGCATATCCTGTTTATGCATCTTACACTTTCTTAACTTCTAATAAAACCTCAACTCTTGGCTCACCTGAACCTGCGCCTGTGGCCTGTTTGTGTGCTCCCTCTTTTCTGTGTGTGCCTTCTTAACCGATGCGTCTCTTGGTGCTCAGACTGACCGGCTGCCCTGCACATTGAATGGGGTGGAGTCAAAGCAGCTGTTGAAAATTCATGAAACTAACTCCATGTACTACCACGTCCTCGTTAACAGCAAGAACTGACTTTCCTTCAGTCTTCGTTGAATAAATGTTTATAAGGTGTGGACGAGACGTTTCAGGAGATAAAATGCATATTTGTCCCTGAAGGATAAAACATTATCCTCCAGAGCAGTTTGAAAACAGAAGTTGGTACCAAATCATTAGGTCTCTTCATCACTTCCTCATCTTAATTGATCTTTGAAGTGAAATTAGTTAATAAAAATGGAACAAACAACAATTTGGTTTTAGATTTCAGACCGACTACAGTTTCAGTTTCTTTCATAGAGGTTATGAAACAAACTCTACTGTGAAGACGGTTCACTTTGCTCTGATTCACCACAGAGTGGAGCTTTTTGTTGTACAAATAGTTTTAAAGGCAGAAGAATCAGTTTTTGTTTTTAATCAACTGATCATTTCTGCCGCTATTAGTTTGTCCCACATGTATCAACACATATCAGTGTAAATCTCTGCTGGTGAGTAACAAGAATAATAAAAAAGTAGTTGTTGGAGCACATTTACAAAGTGTTGTCATCAGGTGAAACACGTGTTTCTCAGTCCAGATGTCACTCAGTGTTTGACAGATGGAAGGATCCTCGTGTTTGTTCAAGCTTTAAGTTCCCTGTTTAGCATTTATAAGCAGCATATAAACAGTTAATAAATGATTTGTAGCACATTATTGTGTAACATAAGGAATAAATCAACTCAATATTAACAATTGAAAGTGGTATGAAGACGATGTAAGTGTCTTACTGTCTTCTTCTGTATCTGTTCATACAGGAGCATTAGCTTGTGAGAGAGAAACTAGTTGACAATTTCCTTAATACGTACACCATCTTAAAACTTCATTAGTGTGTATTAAACATTTAAAATGTCTATATCCTGCTCATAAATGCTAGGTAGGAGAAATTAGTGTTTCTCTGTGATTACTGCCATCTGTATTTGCAAGTTGAATACGTCAGCCTTGACCTCAAATGAACTGTAGTTTAATTGTACTTAAAAATAAGTAGTGCCGAGGGATTTTAGGATAGTTAACCAGGTTAATACTAGTTTCATATGTTGTAGCTGTCGGTCGCTAATGTGATTTGTTTAAACTCTAAAGGTTAGCTTGGACAGAGACTGATTTTGCAGGACAGGAATGCTGAGGAGACGACGTCTGATTGGGTTCCCACTGTGCTCAGCTTCTTCCTTAGTCCGACTTTACTCAGCCACAGAAACTAGCTGTTCGACTCTGGCCTCTGATTTACAATATCGTTGTTGTGGAGTGTTAGGAAAAAAGTCACTGGCAGCACAGTTTCTAGTCCAGACCATGAACAGTCTGCCTGCTCAAACAGAAAGTCAGTCATTTAGTTCAGGGTCCTTATACAAGGACACAAAAAATAAATAGCCACACAGCCTTGGTCTGTCTGAAGTGTTGTGGCGAACATGAGGCTGGGCTGATTTCCCCCCCCTGGTTCCTGGTTATGTTGAAATAATCAAGGTCAACACTTGGTTAGAAGCGGCCGGTCCGTTTAGGTGCCTGGAACTGGACACACTCAGTAAAGTCTCAGAGCTGTTTATGTTCCTTAGTAGAGCTGTGCTGAAGTTGGAGGTGGTGAAACTGTGCTGGTCACGTGAGTCTCTGATCTCATGTACTGACAGAGGAAGGTGGAATCTGTCTCACACTAACAGGTGCAGCTCCTGTGAGTGTGCAGGGCCTTTTCCAGCTGCTCAGAACAACACACAGGTTCCTGAGTCTGGAGCTTTGCCACACCTGAGTGTGCATCTGCATTTGCATTACGTATGCACACGACAGTTTGCATGAGAAATTGTCCAGCTCTTTATTCACCCCACATACTGTACGTTTCTTTGTGTGTGTGTGTATTGGCTTTTGACCAGTGGTACATGGGGGGGGTACATTTAGAGGACTGTGTGCGGATGAGTGTAACCCTGTGACGTTTCCCATCAGGACAGCTCTGGCTCTCTGAAGAGGAGCGGCTCCTTCAGCAAACTGCGAGCGTCAATCCGTCGCAGCAGCGAGAAACTCGTGCGCAAGCTGACAGGCGGCAGCTCGTCACGAGACAGCGAGCCCAAAAACCCCGGGTAACTACCCCCCTGCCACCTTGACACCTGACTGACCTGCTACAGGTGACTCTCACTTTATGCGGCGGGGGCCTGGAGGATCGAGCCGGGCCTCCAGCTTCAGCTCCGCGGTTGGTGTACTAACCAAAAACTAAAGAAGGGATTCACTCTACTTTGCTGGTGCTGAAGTGGTGTAACTCTAAAGCTGTTTGCACATAAAATGAGCTTTTAACTGGCACATACACACGTTCCTTTTTCCCATATCATTAGTGCACCTTTTTCCATGTTTCCATTTCAGTGGTTATTTGAATTTCTTTCTTTAAATCGGTGACGGGAGCCAAACGCCGTCCACTGCTCCGGGACCTACAGCCGAGTGTTTGGGCCACTGTGAGGAGAACAGGGCTTCCTTGTAAAAGTTCTTAACCTCAGTGAGATTCCTCCCTGGAGAAGGCATAAACATTTTGTAGGGAAGTACACGTAATAGTACACAGAGCTTTGAGTTTATAAATAAAAAGTAGTCATATTTTGAATGTATCATTCAGTAAAAAAGAGATAAAGGTGAAAATGTATTTTGAAGAAGTTAAAGGCATCAGTCTCAGTACGTCGTATTATGAAGTCAGAATATCTTGAGGTAATTTGTGGAGGACAACACTGAAGTGTTTTGACAAATGTTTGGAGAAAAAAATGAAAGTAGTTTTAATATTTGTCTTTAGAAATAAGTTGTAAATCTTTTGTAGAGAAAACAGTCAATATCTCTAATATTTTGAGGAGAAAAGCATTTGAAAAAAGGAAGTATTTAAAGAAGTTTTAATATCTTTAGGAAAGGCTGTAATATTTTGTCTTTTGTAGAGAAAATATTTTCGTTACTTTAACATTTGAAAAAAGATTTTTATTATATTTCAAGGAAATTGTCAATATTTCATGAAAAAGGATTTGATATGAGGAAAAAGTCATAACTAATACAAGATATTTATGTGTTGTGAGTAAAAAGTTGTGAACTTTACACATTTGTCTGACGCAGCGCGACAGTGAAGGGATCGTCTGTGGCTTTAAATACGATCTGAACATGAGCAGCAGCGCGTCGGAGTCAAACACACGACACTTGGTTTGAGATATTTCAGCTTTATTAGTGAATCCTGTGATTCCAGTGGTTTTCCCGACAGCGGCCCAAACACTCGGCTGTCCAGACTAAACCTGAGCAGCACTGACACGTGAAGGCGCCCCTTCCTGTCAGAAGCGGCGCGGTGCTGAGCCCTGCTGATGAAATGGGAAAATCCTGCTTCACTCGTGCTGTGACAGCCGATGTGTAGAAAGCATCTGCGATGGGACACAAGCTTTTGTTTGCTTTGAAATCTCTCTGCCTGTTTCACCTTTTTGTTTTTCTAATAGTTGGATCTATTTATTGCATTGTGTGGTTTTGGACTATTTATTTCACTTGGTTTGAAATATAGTTCAGTTCTGCTCAGCTTAGGTTTTTTATTATTTGGGTCCTCTTTGAATTTTACCAACTTGTCTGCATGTTTTTGTTTTGAATCTTCAGCTGTGTGGGATTTTTGTCTATGAATAAATATTTTCGTTTGAATGTCTTTTTGCATGCCTCGTCTGTGTGCTCACTGGGTTCCAGCGTCTTTACTGTGCGGCACTTGGATATGATGATGATGCCTCTCTGACATCATCAGGACAGCTGATGGGCTCCCAGTAATGTTGAATCACTGCAGAAATGTCCATTTTAACAAGACATTAAGTGCGTTTCTTACAGATACCATGAGAAAAGCAGCAGCAGTGCTGGTCGTAGCTTGAGCTTTAGCTTTAGCTTTAAAATCCACATTGCTGTGTGTGTGTTAAATGAAGATTCCAAGGCAGGTCACTGTGTATATTCATCTCCTCACTACTGATATCCAGTACCTCTGTATTATGGTTGTATTGTACAAGGAGATGGTGCTAAATGGACTAAGGAGTGACTGGCGGTTCTTGTCAGAATGGACGTGCGCTTGAGCGTGCCCTTACTGGAGCATGAATGTTGGTGCATGCATGAACTGTACTGGCATGCAGCCTCCTGCACACACCACTGTACAACTCACTAATAAAAATACTGTTGCTTAGTTCAGTTAAAACAAATCTTGACACCACTTTAATGTGTATAAGTCGTTTTTTCATAGGTTGCCAGGTTGTGAAAAATGTGCAATTAAAATAGAAACTTCTTCCTAGTAAATCAGTTTCGGGGTCACATGTTTCAAGGTTTTGGTTTCCAAAGTGTTTTGCTACTTAATTGAAAAAGGTATAAAAATACTTTTGATCTAGATGTTCAGCAGCACTTTACCAGAAGGTCAGGGGTCAAGTAGTCCATGGAAAGGGTGGAGGAAGGAGCTAAAAAGGCAAATGCTGCTTCCCATATATGTGAGTGTTGCTGTTCCTCAACTGAGGCGGCTGCTGGAGGAACCCCGACTGTTTCACGTCTCCAGAAACATGTTTCCTCAATTCCTTGTCTCATTTTTCCACACATCTTATGTGGGCGAGACTAAGATGCAAGGAAAAGAAACAGGAGTGCTTCTAAATATGGAAGAGGATCAGTGAGAGTAGAGGATGCCGAGGATAGAGTTAGGTGGAAACAGATGATTCGCTGTGGCGACCCCTAACGGGATCGGCCGAAAGAAGAAGAAGAAGATCAAGGCCGCTGTAAAAGATTTGACTTCAGAGTCGACTCGGATTCTCTTCCGTATATGAGAGACTTCAGAATCCTTGATCCTCACTTTGACATGTCCTTCAGGACCAGAAAGACTTCCAGGTTGAATAAGAGAAGCAGGATTAACCCAAAAACAAACTGTGGTACAGGAGGAACATAAACACCTGTCAGAGAGATTTTACACAACCTGGCAACCCAAAATCATTTACCTACATTTCCATTGCTTAAACTCGACACATCACACGGGGTGGCGCCGTTAGTTTATATTTAACCTTTTAAATTTCATAAAGTTTACATGTCAAACATTTGTGTGAAACTAACGTGTGTGATATCACGGATGTCATTAACCAATACGTACGTACATCCATCCATTCATCCTCACACCTGCCTCTCCACCCCACAACCCTGCCTCCCTACCACCTCCCTGCATGTCACTGGCCTGGGTGCAGCTTGAAGCGAGCCAGCTCTCTGGGGGTTCTTAACGTGGTGGACAAGGCTGCGGGCGACCTCTACCAAGTAAGGAGCCTGAACCTGACTCTCTCTTTAACCTGCTGGTGATGGGGCCATAATGTCCTGTAATGGAAAGGTCAAAGTTGAATCACTGAAAGAGCCCCCAGCATGCTTCAGTAAAAATATGTTGATGACTAGATTGAACTTTTTCATTGAGCTTTATTTACCTTCAGCAGAAAACTGAGTAACTGTTACATCAGCAAACTGTCAAATCAACAGCATATTTATTTCAGTTTTTATAATCATTTATTGTTTGACTAAAAATGCTAGATGTTCTCATTTCAGCTTCTCAAGGTGACGGTGACCTTTATTGTTATATGGCTTTGTAAAGTGAACATGTGAGGGATTGTTAGGCAGATGGCACAACTCTGAGAAACGGGGTGTTTGTCAGTTTTATAGACTACCTATAAAATTAAGAAATCTATCAGGCAATGAAACAGTTTTACAGTGAATGATTACTCCAAAATACATGGACAGTGTAAGTTCCAGATCTCTGCAGATAGAATACTAAAAGTCAGTTCACACTGCTCATTAATGATGAAAGGCATGACACTAAATAAAATACTAAAACTCATTAATGATGAAAGGCATGACACTAGTGACTCAGACTAACTTCACTCTGTCATTACTGGAACTAATCAGCACTAATTATTAACAGTGAGAATGTTTTTACGTATTTCACACTTTAAACATGTATCGTTGTCTAATACCGACACAACCGAGTGTTTAAAGCCCCTGAAAACTTGGTTTTACCCCTGAAATACTTAAAACGTGAAGTATTTGTGGTTACACAGTGAGATAAGTGATTTGTGCAGACACATCCTACATATGATGCTAAATCCATTACTGAGGTGAAAACCTCGTTTCCAGCTGAGTTTGCTGTAAGAATGTTGTAAAAGGATCCTTACATACATTTAATAGCTACAAACATGACGTACACTCCCTGAGCACTTTATTAGGTACACCTGTACAGGTGAATGACATCCAGCTGTAACTTCTGTGTTTATGAAGCTCGTAATGTTTCAGTTTTTGGAAAATGTATATATGGGTTATTTTTGAGGTCATAGTTAAAGATGGTGATGTGTCCCTAATATTCTGACACCCCCCATGTATGTAAATGGGAAGGACAAAAGTACAGAGACTGTTGGTTACTTCTTGACTTTTAATTTCATTTCGTCTCACTAAATTTTCTGCAGGAACAAAATAATCGTCTGAGAAAAAGTCGAGACCTGAGCGCCAGCCACATGGACCTGGCGCATTGAAGGTGTTCGAGTGCGAGAAGATGAAGACGGAGGCTAAAAGGTCCCAACAGACGGCAGGGGCCCCTCAGTGTAAATAGCTGTTTGTGCACAGGTTGTGATCTTTCATTGCACTTTGAAAGGTTTGTGGTGTTTCTGTGCTTCTGTTATGTGAACACACGCTGAGCTGCTTGGGTGTTTTGACTTGTAAACCTTTTCTGCCACTATGATGTACTGTTGGTGAGTGTGTGCTCGTGGGGGGCGACGGCCTCTCACAGCCGTCCCTGTTCATATTTTATGCTGTCGCTTGAACGAAGGCAGCTGCAGAGTGAAGGTTTAGTTTCACAAACATTTCTAATAGAGGCAAAACAAAATGATCTCACTGGTCCAGTTAGAGAAAGCAAAGAGCTCAGCTTCACTAATGGACAGACCTGACTGGCAAAGAACGAGCTTGTTGTTTTGGTTAAAAGCCTAATCCTTTACAAACCTTAAGTTAAAGTGCTCAGCCATCACTGAAGCAACGCTTTGTTTGAGGACGGACTGTTTTGAGTCATGATTGAAAAAAGAAGAAATCTACAGACTGTGACAAACAAAATGAACAGCCTTAATCAATGAGTGGTCTCCTCCAGGAGGACAGAGTCCCCCCCCATCCACAGGACACCAGGGGTCCCTGACTGGTCTGATGAGGAGAACCATAATGTTGTTAACCAGATGCTGTGGCCTTCCCAGTCACCAGGGCTCAGCCCAGTTGAACAGCTATGGAGGATGTTGGAGCAACATGTTAGACACAGTTTGTACTTCAACTTTCCTAATGACACTTTAGACGGTTCACCTTTATAAACTAAAAGTCATTTGGTCGAGATTAGTGTTAAAATTCAAAACTGGCGTTGAAGCTCCCAAGTTGGGATCTGAGTGACGTCCAACAGTCTGAGCTTCCACGATCAGATGTACCCAAAGAACCCTAAAGACAAGTCCTTATACTTAGTCAGTCGTCTCTTTGCTGCTGCAGGTCTGAAACTAGCTCAGCCCACAATGAGAACAGTTCTGCCTCTGAGCAATGTTTGACTAAAACTGTCACTTCTGCAGAAAACTTGTCCAGTGATGACGTCTTTCCGTAGGCAGATGTGGACGATAGCTCAGCTCTGGTTCGCTCTGCAGATTTCCAATGTAGGTTCCGAACTGGGTTTTTCATTCTTTCGGCTTCAGAGCAAACTTACGGCATTTACACAATTTTTTTCAGTAGAAAAACTCTCACAAATCAACAGATGTTCGACAACTTTTGGACCACAAAAACTGAAACTTGCAGATGGTATTTTCTGCAATTAGTAAAAACACTTTGACCAAAACGTTGGAAACCTGCTGAGGGAACCCGCATCTCAAATGCTTCTTAGGATCTGATCCCCTGAAAAGATCCATCCTATGTTGGTTGTAGATTTAGTTTCTGATGTATGAAGTTCTATGTTTACATTTGATGTTTTGTAAATTATATTTGTTTCTTGCAGCTTGCGAAGAGCAGCACGGTCTCCTGAAGCACAAAGTGCTTCAGAATAAAAAAGCTGGATCGTTGAATTTATTGGCACATGACGGAGGCCGACTCAGGATGGAGGCTGTAGTTTCACACACTGACTCAAAATTAATAATAACACTCCGCACTTTCACACGATATGGCAGGAGAAATGTTACAACCTTGTGCACATCCAGGCATGGTAGTGTTTATTCAAGACAACACTTTACCACGTGAGTAAAGCTGAACAAATCCAACCAAAAACAACAAATGGTGAATTATTTAAAAAACGTTATGCAAGAATTACAGTATTACTGAGCAGAAAAGAAATGTTGCAACTGTAAAATATATATATATATGTGTATGTATTTGCTATTACCAAAATAAAGGGAGGGGGCTTTCTTCTATATAGCTGGTTATATATAGTTGAATAAATAGATTTTACATTTTTCCATTGATTCACTTTGAACTTAGAACATGTGTGTTATTTAAAACTGGAATTATTTAAATTATATTAACGCATTAGAACAAACCCTGACAACAGACTACAAACGCACTTTTAAATGTGGAAGAACTCATTATAATGTAATAACTTTGTTTTTGTCAAAAGATTTTGAGGGTTCGAATTCTGAGAGTCTTTCTAGGGTTTGGTTAGAAGTTGATCTTTGTAAAAACATTGTACAACATTTATCATATTTACTGGTCACAAACGTTAAGGTTCAGTTGCTTCAGTTCCAGTTTTCTGTGCTGGAGTTTTCTGGACTCAGCCTGAAACAGAACCTGTGTCCATCTGTAAACATTCTCAAAAGCTTCTTTGGACTGAAGTTTTTGCTGCTTTAATCACTTCAACTCATTTTCTAGCTCATGCTATAAAAGTGGAAGAGGCTTTAGTTTTGAAGGATTTTCTCAGAACAAACCCGTCATTTTGCTCTGGACTGACTTGGTCCTGATCAAACTGGGTTCCGTCACTGAGGCATGTCCGTTATCATCAGTTATTTTCTTTTGGAGTTGGTTTTTCCTGCAGAAGTTTCACAAACTCTTAGTTTTTGGCTACGATGCAAGCTTGTGTTGGAAAAACATTTTACATCTGGTTAAAATATGTAAATCTGGTGAGAATTCATTAACGCCCTCTAGAACAATAAAGATCGTACTGTTTGAAGACTTTCATTCTAAAATGCTGCTGTAGACTGTTTCCCAAGAGCACGATCTGTGGACATTTCCCAAATAATTAGAACAACGATGAAGCCCTGAAAAATATTGATAACTATAAAAATAATCATTTTTTCCTTTTCTGTCAGTAATGATTTAGTCAAATTTGTAGTGATATTTTTATGTCAAATATTGTATTTTGGAATTTTTCTCTTCATGATGATTTTGTTTTACAGATCAGAGTCAAATGTGTTCTTGTTGACTGTTGATCGGTCTGCTTGTTTTTCTTTATTGTTTTAAAGTAGAAGCTCCATAAAGTAACAAGGCACATGAGAATATCTAGTGGTTTTGATGAACTGGACAACAACTGGAGTGATATAAACACAGTAGTTGAAATTAAATAAGGTATTTCAGATATTATCGAGATGCTAAAGAGCAAAAATACTTTGACCAGAAGTTGATCTTCCTCATAACAGCAAATAAAGTTGATGTACTTCCTAAATTTTTAGCAAAATGTAGAAAGTTGACCTTTGCTAAATTGTAATCAATCAGTCAATCGTGCCTGAGTATCACATTAGTCCTCCATACATTTGTGAATGCAAATGACTTGAGTTACTCTGTATCAGTGGTCAGTGGGAACTGAAGCCACACTGATAGACAAGCTGATTAAATCTAATTAGAATAAATATGTAATATTCCATTGAATGTTTTAGTAATATAGGCTGCAGTTATAATGTTTTGGTCATACAACTCTGAGGACTAAGTTATGTTCCCCAACAAAGCTTTGGGAAATCATACAAGATCTTTTTCAGTGTTTAGGGCTGTAGGATACTTTTATTGTTAATTATTGTTTTGATTATTTCCTCATTTGGCCAAAAAATGGCCAAGTTGGCATCATCAGTTGTCTTGTTTTGTCTGATGAAGTTAAAAATGTTCAATTTACAGAAGAAAAGAACATGTATCTCTGCCTTAAACAGCAGGTGAACTATTGTTTTCCTTTCCCACTGGAAGTTTTACCAGCAGGTGCATCAGCAGGTTTGCCTGTGCATTAACTCTATACCAAAAGATGAGAACATCCAGTGATACTATTGTTTTCCTTTTTACCACTGGAAGTTTTACCAGCACCATTTTGGGGGAAAACAAACACATGAACTTGATTTTTCTAAACAAACCTTGCAGCCTGTTGCATTGGTAGAAAAGCAGGCTTAAAAGAATCTGCCGGTTACCATCCTCTTTGTGCAGCGCTCCACAACTCTGAGCCTTTACAGTGCCCTGGTGGAAAGTTTACAACTTTTGAATGTCAGGCTTCACATGTTCCTCTTATTTTGGTGTGTAACATGAAGTTGTTTGAAGACATTGTGTTTCTGCAAGCAGTGTAGAGCTCTGCCCTCTGTGTTTAATATGAAACACAACCGTCCTCACAATAACTCATTTATGGAGTAAATGCATGTTCATGGATGAGACTGCTGCTGCCCCACATGTGCTGGTAGCAAAGAGGAGGAGCAAAGCATTGGCATACAAAGGAGAAAGTGTGAAAAAGTAGAAATAATGGGCCCCGAAGATTCAGCAGATCTAAGTGCACTGTAATTATGGAGGGTTTGTCTGCAGACTAAAATGCTATTCCACCTGCTTTTTACATGAGCACTAGTGATGTTTGTTCAGCTAACTATCATACAGCTTAATTGTATTTGAAGAATAAAATGGTCAAAGTTTTGTCTTTTCTACTGTGGTTTTTAAGATGTTTATGGTTGAAGAAAACTAAGACATTTTACTCAGTTTAGTAAGAACAATATTTAGTGAAGTCAACTTTTGAAGTAGCAGAAAATTGGAATATTTAAGTGAAGCACAAATATCTTAAAATTGTACTCAAGTACAGTACTTGAGTAAGTGAAATTACTTTCCACCACTGCTGATGTTTACTCTTTTACTAAAGTAACATTTTGACTGCGGGACTTGTGATGTAGTAATTAGGCTGCTTCTTCCACCAGTGTGAGCAGATAATAAACCAACAAAATGCTATGACTATTTTTTGTGGCATCAGAGTACATTTTAAAATAAGGGCTTATTGAAGAGGAACCAAATGAATTCTCTCCGTCGTGTCCCTCCAGCAGTACGTGTATTTTCGGGTGCGGTTGTAAAAGTCTAAACATTCCACTTTGCCCGACGCAACACGTGATATCAAATCTATGGTGTGATTGGTTCACCAGGCTGCCAATCATCCAGGGGGGTAGTGTTCACACGGGAGTACATGGTGGAAAGAATCTGTACGGAGCAGAGGAGAAAGTGCTGCGGAGTGAAAATGTCTTCAGTGCCTGAGGGAAAGAAACTGGTCCGGAGCCTCAGTGGACTTCGCATGGTGCCAGAAAACGGCGCCTTTAACAGCCCTTTCTCCCTGGACGAACCGCAGTGGGTCCCGGATAAAGAGGTGAGGCAAGCGGGGGCATTTATTTGACAGCGAGAATCTATCGGAGATACGGATGAGAGAAGCTAGCTAAGATATTAAACATAGGGTATCCGGTTGGGATTTTCAAGATACAACAGCTTTTTTTTTTTTTTTTAAACAAACGTTTTAGGATGCTGAAGGTTGCTTCTCGTTCAGCAGTTTGGAGAACAATTAAGAAAACGTTTATAAAAGGACGTCCAAATGTGCGCGTAGTCGTAGATTTTTGGGAAACTTTTAGTTTATTGTACTTAATAAAATAAAAGTTCCACAGCATCAGACATATGCTTTTATTTTTAAAGTCAAACTGTTTCACGTCCGGTGTTAACTGTGGTGAACTTGACGTAGCTGACCAGCGCAGTTGGACCCCGAACTGGGCGTTGCAGGCGCTCGCGGTCAATCTGGCAGCTCCGGAGCGTGTCCGATAACCAGCTAGTTATTCAAAGAGACTAGCTGTCACGCGCAGTTGTGATCTTTATCTTAACAAGTGGTCGTTAAAGTGACAGTGCATGTGTTGTTGTGCGTATTAGCTGCGTCCTCACCTAGCTAGCTCGAGCGCTGCTATGCTAGCTCTCCATGCCATGGGAGTGAGTGTGAGCGTGCACAGTCAGTAGTTCACTGTCCGTGTGAATGCCCTGTTGTTGTCAGTGCTGTAAAACTACAGCAGGAGACAAACACCAACTGTCTGCTGAAGCGCTTGTAGCTCTGCCAGGTCACAGAGCCAAAGTTAATCATTTATCATGTGGGTTCCGAGTTCAGGAGATCTGCAAACACTATGTGAGAGGAAAAGCCTTGAATATGAGGGCCAAGGTAATTATAGGTGTTTAAAAGTCTTTTAAAAGAACAGAATTTATTTTAATTCACCAGAGACGCTCCTGTCTACTGGGAAAGGGTGCAGAACATCTGGATCCTTTTCACTCACAAAACATATTTGGGCAGTTTAATTCCACTCCTCCTCCTACATTATGTTTGCATTACATTTACAGTTGTAAGTAATTTGATGCTCCATTTATCACAATCTTTAACTGTGTTCATCTAACACCATATTGATTATCACAGTTGTTGAACAAATCAACCAGACACTTGTAAAAGTTAGTTTTAATTTAGCAGCTTACTTGGTGTCAGGCGAGCTAAAAGAGCAGGCATTGTGAAATAGTTTGAGCTGCTGTGGTCTCATCCAGCTGCTTCTGAATCCGCCCAGCTCAGCATATTGTGTAACATCCTGTTTTTCCTCTCTCCCTGTCTTTCAGTGCCCCAGATGTATGCAGTGCGACACCAAGTTCGACTTCATAAGAAGAAAGGTCTGTTTTGTCTTGCAACATGACCGTGACAGCAAATCACAGCTTTGACTCTGAAAACAACACGAGGAACATGTTATGTTGTTTATATTTTGAAACCTGAGAAGATTTTTTTTTCCACTTTATTTTTATTTTGGCCTGAAAACACAGTGACAGCTCCTGTGATGTTTCTTTCCAATGACTACCTTCATAATAACGGGTCTCTGGTTCTGCTCGCTTGTGGGCACATGTTCTTCAGAATCCACTGTCTGTTTATAGGAACCTTAAACAGTAGCTGGTGTCTTCAAAACTCACAACCCACATTATTTATCATGCATATCTGCTGTGTAGAACAAATAAAAAGGCTAAATGACAGGTGGAGTCGCTCAGTAAACAGCCTTTGTACTGTTGATGTCACTCAGTTATTGCTCACTTCATTTATTTTGAAGTTTTAATACAACAGTTTTTGTTTTTCTGCATTTAATGCAGATTCAAAAATCTAATTAATCCACTAGATGTGAGATGGGTTATATTATTTTTGACCAACAGATGGAATATTTTCCTGTCCTTTTAAGAAAGTGCCCAGTGACCTCAGTAGATCTGCACTGTGGGGATAAGTGTCAGCGACTTTGTGTGTCAGCTCAGCTCACACTGCCGCACTTCCTGTCAGTTCGCTCAGATTCCAGCAGAAACTATGAGCAAGCTGTACAGACGGGACTCGCTGACGAAACTTAGGGGTCACAAATTCTCTGTACCCCCAAACAGACAAACTGACTGTAACTCGTTGTTTTCTGCAGCACCACTGTCGGCGCTGCGGCCGGTGTTTCTGTGATAAATGCTGCAGTAAGAAGGTGGCGCTGCATCGCATGTGTTTCGTTGACCCGGTGCGACAGTGCGCCGAGTGCAGCCTGGTGTCGCAGAAAGAGATGGAGTTCTATGACAAGCAGCTCAAAGTGCTCCTGGGAGGTGAGAGGTTGGTTCATTGTCTTTAACTGTGTAGCAGCTTCACTCAGACTAAAGAAACATAAGGGCTTTTAGAATGTTTAGAATAACTAGAGTGTTTGTGCACGAGCCATGCTGTTGTCCATCACACCCAACAGGAAGCACAAATATGATCAAAATCATTTCTGAAATAATATTTGAAAGTGTCCTGCTCTGCTGTTGCTGAGCATGGGTCAGTGTGTAGCTATAAATATGTAGCAGCTCTTAATAGAAAATCCATCAGAGCTGCAGGGCCTGTGACATAAAACCTGATGAGCAGCACAAAATGGAAATGCAAAGCAGTAGTCTGTGATGGTTTCATATAAATATTAGTGTTTTCTGACACTTTCTGTGTGGAAAATCTGGAAAACTGTGAACAGTTTCTTGTGGTTTCACTGCTGGTGAAGAATAACGCTGCAGATATTCTGTATTTTTATTCTCGACAGAAACATGTTTGCAGAGTTAATGTAACTGTTCCAGGCCTTTCTGCTCATTACGCATTTTCTGTTTCAGGAGGCACCTTTGTCGTCACCCTGGGGACGTCTGAGAAGTCTGAAACCATGACGTGTCGCCTCTCCAACAACCACAGGTGAGCGCTGTCAAATCTGCGTTGTCCTTACTAAAGGGTCAGTTCACCCAAATTGCAATATGTTCTCTCTTGTAGCTCCTGGTGTCTGAGCAGACTGTTAGTTTCAGGTTTATGTTTTGAGATATCTGCCTCCACCAAATAAACACAATACAGCTGAAGGGCTTTTTCTTGGAGAACGTAGCAGCAGCATCTCCTTCCAGAAACAGACCTCAGTGTGAGCAGTCTTCACAGGGACCCTGTTCAGAAGAAAGGGCCGTGTCGCACAGACGGTAGCGCTTACATTGGGCTGGAGGCAGAAACGGGTCTCCCACAACCTCAGTGACACTGAACCTGCTGTACCTGCGTAGCTGGGTACCACAAGGGAATAGATGAAACATGTTTCTTTTGTCATTCGAGTGAATTTGCCTCTGATAACTTACATTCAACACATTACATTCATCGTATTTAAGGGTATAAAAACAGCAACATGGTGTCTCCGTTTTCCTCCACTGAACAGTTTAGTTTTCTGGGTTTTACTAAGTGTCGGAGTCTCACAGGGAAACTAGTGCTGCTGTAGACTTTTAGTCAGGTCTTCTCTCTCATTTTACTGTCATTATGAGTGAGGAAGTGAAACTGAGGAAATGTTTCAAGCACATTCCTATATCATGTGTTAGGGTACAAGATGTTGGATATGTCCAGAACCTAAGACACATTTCAGAAGATGGGTTTACTGGTCCTTCGTATAGTGACAAATCCATGTCAGACTGGTTTCATTTGATGTGATTTGTCATCTTCTTTCGGACCCAAACATCAGGTACCTGTTCCTTGACGGTGAAAGTCACTTCGAGGTGGAGCTGTCTCGGATCTCCAGCATGCAGATTTTGACAGACGGGGCGAGTCCTGGAGGTGAGACGCTGTGTAGAGTTGGACAGATGCGGGTGTTAAGGGCAGCACACACCGGCAGCGTTGTGTCGCATAGCATTGTCACATGATGTCTGTAGCACGCACCGTGAGCAGTGTGAATTCAGTTTGATACCATAGAAATGGGTGAGTAGTTCAGCCTTCCTCATTTTTGGCAGTAAGATCATATTTTATGTTCAACATAAATAATCATTTGAGCAGAGAGCTCATGTCAACAGATGTCTCTAGCTGTGGCTCTTTATGCCTCCGTGCCTGTGATTTTCATGATTGTGAAATCTCAGGAACGCCTTGAGGGAATTTCTTTAGGTTTGGCTCAAAAGTCCATCTGGAGTCAAGGATGAACTGATTAGATTTTGGTGGTCAGAGGTCACTGTGTCCGTGAAGCATGATTTGGACTATTGTGCACTATGTTGAGTGGCTTTTTTCCTGTGGACCAGCACAGCTGCACCACTGTGCTGGAGGTTCTGGTCTCTCTGGTTCTGCTGGTGACATGGATCCACTAACCAGCTGATGTTTTCTCCTGACTGACACTAAAAGCTGTTTTTCTGAACTACCACTAACAAACGGTTTCTCCTGTGCTGCCTCGCCTCTGGTGGCTCCTCTCCTCCGGGCTCAGAGAATGACATTCACACTTACACCAGCCTGTTGGACAGTCACTATGTCTCTGAAGGTTAGCTTTACTTCACTACTCCTTGTCAGGCTGCTTTCATTCTCACTGTGCACGTCTTCATGCGTTTCCTGCATAATGGCAAAAAACATCTCACCACAAACTTCCCATCAGATTTTAGTGTTTGACTTGTGTCTGCTGCTCCCGATTTACTTTCATTTTATTTTGATGTCGCTTTTTCTTTTTCTGTTCTCTGAACTTCCAGTACACTTTTATTTTTATTCCTCTGGCATCTCCTGTTTATTACATCTGTGTGTTTGTGCATGGATTCATCGTTTTCAGGGATGGTTACTGACACTGCCATGTTCAGCTGAATAGAAAAGCATGAAGGTGATCTCATGAGAAAACGCTCTTTGTGTCTTGGCATTTTAATTGTTTTAGACATAAAAATGTCAGGAAAACGTTTCTCTAAGCACAAAGTGACGTATTCAGACATTCAAAGCCCAAAAATATTCAGTCTGATTTCATTTAAAACATGTTTAAGGAGGAGAAAAGCAATTTTTGTTCCATTTTAGTATAAAATATTTTAACAATGAATTGATTCTCAAAATATTTGCAGATTATTTTTCTTTCAATCAACTGATCCATTAACTAATTACTGCAGCTCTAGAGTTACTGTTATTTGAAAGTATAGTCCATCATTCTTGCTTTTTTAATTAAGAGGTATGTGTGTGTATGCATGCATGTGCAGGAGCGACGTCACGGGCCAGTGGCATGCTGCTCCACTACAAGCCGATGGGCTCTCAGGACACCCAGCAGCTCCGCGTGGAGGCAGCAGACGACAAGAAGGCGGCCTCATTATGGTTGGCTGCCATGCACAAGGTGCAATAAACAACACATACATGCTCGTAGTCTGGGTTCATCCCAAGTCTCCGTGTTTCCCTCCTCTGCGTCTTCTCCTGAATTGAGGAAATATTTTTTCCCCTTCAATCTGAAGCATCCACTCACCAATTTCTGATAAAGGAGCATAACGGTCCATAGAAGACTTCTGCGAAGGATGCTCTCATGTATCCTCGCTCATGTTTCCTCCAGCAGCCTCCTCGACCCTCACAGCAAGAATAAGGGTTGAGGAGTGAGGAACAGTTGTATAAGAGACATGGGATGATCCCTGTCACTGCACTGATGTTGTGTACTTTATTACTGTGTCATGGTCATAGGCCTGCCCGGCCCACGTGGACTTGGAAAAACACCGCTACAAAAAAATCTACTGCGACACCGGTCATGTGTTTGTCCAACATGAACCTAACGTCTTACATTAGAGTGCAAACAAAGAGCTTTGCCTCCTGTCCGAGGCTCGGCAGGTGACATCAGTCACAGAAGGTTTAACTTCTTATCATGACATTTGTCCTGGTAACTGGAGTCTAAGAATGGAAGAGCTCTTATTCAGTGTTTAGTTTCTGGGTTTGTTTTCTGTCGTGTATTGACGTTGTGCGAGTGTTGTTCCTTCCTCGCACACCAAACACATTGTCGACAGGTGGTTTTACATCTGACGGCTGCACTCAGCTCACTTCACATCTTTGTTGTTCCACTATAGGATTTCTTTTTTTGCAGCATCACAACAAAGACCAACTGAGACATGTTAAAAAAAAAAAACATGACAAGTGTTACGATGCACACAATTTGTAATAAATGACAGGGATTGATAAAGATGTGCAGGAGGAACCAGGAGGCACTTTATTGTGCATTTGAAGAGCTCTAACTGCACATTAAAGAGGAAAACCTCTTGTGTATTCTCACCCTGCATTAATGTCCGTGTTCCCCACAGGCGGCCAAGCTGCTGTATGAAGCTCGGGACCAGTGAGGTGCAGGCGCTTTGCAGGACTCACCCCCAGGCAGCACACACCCAAGTGTTTTGGACCCCGTCTCGTTTGGGTCTGATATCTTTTGGATTATATTAACGCCAGTTCTGATTCAGCTTACCTGTCTGATTCCTCTTCACTTCTTCAGACCTGTTCTTACCATGGTCATTTTTACAAGAAAGAGATGTTTATAGAAACAATTTATTACCTCTGTAACAGGCACTTCGACACCATGTTTACCACAGCTGTACATCGCTCAGAGAGTTCTTTAATCCTCTTAGAGTTGATGCATAAATCACGGTGTGCAGCATTAATGTTTCCACACAGAACTGTAACAAACTCAGCAGCGACACAGCAGGAAACAGCTTTCCAACACTAGTTAGTGTGCATTGGTTTAGGGAGGCTTTGACATTTACTCTTCTTTTATTTTCTATATAATGTGACGTTGTACGTTTTGTAGCTTCAGACAGAGGCACGGCTGTTTTATGAAGACACAGTAACTTTATATGCTGAAGTTCAGTTTCCCTTCTATTAGTGGTGAGACACCTTCTGGATGTAGAGACGTTTTTATTTGCTGACTCTGCTTCCACTGAGGGTCTCTCTCACACAGAACCCAGCTGTTCCAGAGAGAGCGTGGTCTCAGCTAGGCTGAAGGTCAGACCCACCCTGAAACCCTTTAGACAAACAGCTGTGTCTGGTGAACTTTGCATTTCAGGTTGTTTAATCACCCAGATAACAGAGATGTTGGCTTCTGTGGAGACTGAGGGCAGGAGAGGGCTCAGCACAAGCACATGGAATAGAAGTTTGCCACTTCATGTGGTAACAGATGCTTTCGTATGACAACCAGTGTGAACACAGCTGGTGTCAGGAGCTTGAGCTGTTTACGACAATACTAATCCCCCTATTTAGTGTTTATCAGCAGCGTATAAATGTTTAATAAATTGTTTATAACACGTGTAGTATAAACAGATATAAGTGTGGATTCATGTCTCCTGTTCGTGGATAAACTGATGATGAATGTAG